TACTAAGCTAACTATCATCTTCATCAAGTAAAGTGTTGGGTTCAACAAACAAACTCCTAGCTTTATAAAGGAAGGATATATCTCTATTTCTACTAATGATTTAATGGATATTTGAAACAAAGAGCATTTAACTATCCTTATGTTAAGTCTATTATAAAGCTACAAAAATTACAATGAGCACATAATAATACCATAACCCTACTATAAAATTTTCAGGGTTTTTGCTATCACCAATCTACCACAAAAATTCCTACAATATTTAACCTAATAATATTAATCACTCTCAAATGATTTAATAGCTCCTGGTATCAATAAGCACATATATGAAATAAATACACTAACATATAGAGCACAATTTTAGGAACTGACAAAATTAGTTTCACAATTTTTGGATACCTACACGATTTTATACGATTTACCAAAGTTTAGCTCAGAATTAAAATGAAAAGCTATTTCTATTCTACACGAAAAAGATAAACTCAATTCGACCCAACACGGCCCACACGGCGCAACACGCGCGCACGAGTGTGCGGCGACCCACAGGCGAGGCGCGGCCCATGCGCGGAGGCAGCCCACGGCGAGAAGTCCCGCGCGTGCTGGCACATTAGCAAAAACACCCCTGGACTATGAGCAAAATAACCCACAGTCCATGTTACTATTTCTATAGACAGTGACTTTGCAACAAAACCCTCAGAACTTCCTCCTCTTTACAACAGCAAGGTCCTCGGCCTCCCCCACGCGTGGCACTAGCGCGGTGAGCGGTGGCACTAGCGCTTGCGTCGGTCACACAGGACCCACGCTGACCTATCTACGAGGCCGACGCTCACCTAGGGTTCGACGCGAGACGATGGGCGGCGGTTACACGAGCCGGGACACCATAGACAGGACCTCTCCATGACGGTGGGCACCCTGCGGCAATGGCGATGGCATGCTGGTGAGCCGTAGCAACAACAAGGCGATAGGGGTAAGTGGGTGAGCACGACAACTCACCAGTGACCTTACCGAGAAGCCGTCTAGGCCAGAGACGACCCGAGCGAGGCTGGCCACGTGCGTGCGGCGAGGTGAACGGCAGACCGCAAAGGCATAGCCATGTTAGTAGTGAGGAGGCGGCACTAGAGCTACGACTAGCATGCGCACAACAAAGAGGGAGCCAAGGCTAGCTAGTGGTGCAGAGGAAATGGCACGGGATGAAGTGGTGGGGGCTGACCACGTCGCGGGTAGTGACAGGCCTTAATGGCATGGCAGCGACAAAGCTCTAAAATTGGAGCTCGGCGTGACGCGAGTCAAGGCGGGGTGGGGTCGGTGGGAGATGGGACGTGAGGGTAGAGACACGAGCACGAGAAATAGATGAGAGGTGCTCGCTCTCTGGCTTACCATGACGCGACCCGATGGCGGTGGAAAGACAGAGGGAGAAAGAGACAGGGCGCGGCAGTTGGTTCGGCTCGTCCACGCCATGCCGGGATGTGGCCGACCGGACTTAAGGTAGCGTTTGCATAGCCGCTACATGATAATGTGGCCAAACCACGTGCGCGCATGGAGGTAGGTGGGGACACGGCATGCGCGGCCACAACACCATTAAGGCGGGACAACGGCGTAGGGCAGCCCATGTGCGAACTAGTACAAGGCAAGCGGCAGCAGCATAGCGTCGCAGTGGCGTCAGTAGCGGCAGCGTCGCGACGCGAGGTGGGTCGGCAGTGCGAACACGACGGCGAGTTGATGGCACCAAAGCATGGCTGTCAGTCGCAAGCGCGTCTTGAAGCGGTCGGCGGCAGCAAGCGGGCAGCTCTGCTGCACGGTGGGGCCAATGATAGCCGAGATCTCAGCTAGGCCCACGAGCACATGGAGGAGTAGGACACTCCTTTGGAGGCTTTTCTGGACGGGAGGACTTTGAGGACCTTGGCCTATCTTTTTGTAGCCCGCGGCATGTCCTGGTAGGACGGCGATTCCCTTTTGTCGCGATCGGTCTTCTGGGGGGCATGTAACCGTAGGATCCGCACCCTCCTAATTAGACTAGAATGACAAATACGTATCCCCTCAGTCCCCTTATTAATGTAATAATAATCTAAACTATTTAACAAAAAAATGATTTGGCAACAGATATGATACTAAAAACTTTAGAGCTTGTCTAGCCAACAATCGAGTGATCCCAGGGCAACCATCACTTGGTTTTTGTATCCTTACATATAAAATGGAGGCCCCATAATATCTTTCTCTCTCTCTCTCTCTCTCTCTCTCACACACACACACACATATATATATATAGGTAGGGCGCTCCCCTCGATCCTTTCGAAAAAATGGAGACCCCAGATCAAATCTCCGTCCATCTTATCTCCTTCCTCTGCGCACCCGCACCTGACACCACCGCCTTTGCCTCCCCGTCTAGTTCCAACGGCACCACTACCACTGGATCTATCGTCGCCCACCACCGCCGCGTGGTCCCAAAATCCATCAGGATGTGCCACCTCCGTGTTGTCTTCTTCATGTCGTACCGAGCCCCCCCCCCTCGCCATTGCCTTTAGCCCCGCTTCGCCATAGCCATGCTAACCTGGCGGAGGTCGTCGAGTTATCTATGGCCCGCCCAACCACCTTCCCCCACTGCTCGGTTGGTGGCATTGGTGAGAGAAAGAATGAGGCAGAGAGACGGCTACCGGGCGATGTGAGGGAATGACATATATTGGTCTAGGCTCTATTTTCTTATTGTGCCTCTATAGTATTTTGAACTCAGTTATTTCAATTATATGCTCAGAACTGAATTACACTAAGTTACTTTGGATAGTAAGAAGCTAAGACCGAATTGTGCCTAATTTTTTTTTTTGGTTTTGGCCTGGTAGTTCGGTTTTGGTCTCGTGTATTTTGGTTCAGTTTTTGATCCTCAGTTGATTATCCCCACCGCTAAGCGTTCCATCCAACCATCCATCAGTCTTCTGTCTGATAGGAAGGGCCACATGTTCATATATCAATATCCATCCTTCTCTTCGCAAAAAAAAAACCATCCTTCTACTCTCTAGTCTAAAAACAATATACATTTTGCTTTTCGAGAAAAAAATATATAAAAAGTACTCAAGGTTATTTTATCTCTGGTTGTGCAGCAATGTATTGCTTTCTTTCTTAGAATCCTAGGCAAAAGCCAACTTCATCGAATGTATTCGATTTTGGACGCATGGAGTTGTCATGGCTATATGGGCTATATGGGAGAACTCCATTGAAAAAGGCCCGCATACACAGTGGACGCACATAGATAGATAAATAATACTCCATTTAGAAAAAAATTTTTGGCTTTTTAGGCTCTTCAGGCCTTTCGTTTTTATTTGGCAAAAACATCAGTGGACGCAATTAGGCTAGATAGATAAATAATACAACCAGCCAAGTTTAGAGACTGTAGTGCACCTTTTGCATTGTCATTGTGACAACTGACAATATTAAAAGCAGGACCCTTTGTACGTTCTGTATGTTGTCCCTTCCGTCTAATGACATGTGGGTCCGAATAGCTTCTACGCTTGTCCAGCTAGTGAGTTAGGACTCCGCCGATACTATTATTACTATTAGTAGATCGTAATAACAAATAAGACAAAGCCTGATGATTTCTCTAAAAAAAAGACAAACACCCTGTACGCTTGAATTACTTTTTAGCCAACTAATAATGTTTTTTTTCACAATAAATCAGCATAAGCATAAGTATAAATCAAATTTCAGCGTAACCGAATGGGGTGAAAGCCTGATGATTGTGTTTGTGGTTCGCCAAGAGGCCGTCCGTTTAGGATCGAATACTTAAGTTGGCTACCACTGCAGGCCGTGCATAACCACAAGTTCGCAACCTCGGTCATAGGTTTTCGTACTTACTCCCTCCATAAAAAAAATATAATTCTCGTTTTTTGAAAAAACCAAATAATATCAAATTTGACTAAAAATACTAATTTTTATGATACAAAATAAATATCATTAGTTTAACTATAAAATATATTCTCGTAATAATTAAATGGATTTAAAGACATAGATATGAATAATATTTACTGTAAACTTGGTCAAACTTGAACTATTTTAATAGGTATGGAAACCATAGCTATATTCTTTTGTGGATGGATGAAGTATAAGGTTTGTGTAGGATTGACGTGTCATTAGGTCAATTTGCATAGTTGTTTTTTGTATTATTTTAATATGAGCTGTTGGGTTGTATATGAATGGACCGAAAGAAGAGTTTTCGCCAACAAATTAAGTTGAAGTTATAGGCTTAATTAGACAATAAAGATTATTGACTTATATTAAGCTTTAGACTATGTCTATTGGAGGATTTGATCATGTTAGGATATTTTTATGTTTATTGGATTTGAATTTGATCAAGCTAGGATTTTTTTTCCACCTGAGCATGTGCTCTTAGAATGTCTCTAACGGCACAACCTAAACCTAAAATACGTCCTTCACAGTGTAGCGGTGTCATCTGCTGACTAGCAGGCCATACTGCCTGCCTGCCTGCCATGGAGGAGGTGTGGAAGGACTACATGTCCCTACAGCCATCCCTTATCAGGCCGTGTTTAGTTTCAAGATTTTTTCCAAAAAAATGCTACAGTAATCATAACATCGAATCTTACGATACGTGCATGGAGTATTAAATGTAGAAGAAAAAAAAAACTAATTATACAGTTTGGTTGAAAATTACGAGACGAATATTTTAAACCTAATTAGTCCATTATTGAAAACTAATTATCAAATAAAATTCTAAACTCAAATTTCCAATTTCCACCCAACTAAAAAGGCCTCAGTATCACACCCGCCGCGGCGGCGCACTGTAGAACCACCGTCACCACCAGCATCTGTCGCCTTCTGGTGCTGGTGGCTCCCATTCACCGCCCTCTTTCTCGTCGCCGCTGCAGCCCCCACGCCACCTCCGCCCACGACGCTGAGCCTGAGCTCCACCCTCGAGTTCACCTACCTCGGTGGGGCAGGGGGCAGGGGCAGGAGGTGGCGGCGGGTCCTCCACCTCCGGCGACGACTCCCGCGACCTGATGGCCTTCTCCTTCGCGCCGGCCGATCAGTATCAGTACCGGTACCACACCATGAAGCAGAGCAGCAGCTCCGCCGCCGCCGCTGGAGATAGCAGGCGGCAGCGGCGCATGATCAAGAACCGTGAGTCGGCGGCCAGGTCGCGTGCCCAGAGGCAGGCCTACACCAACGAGCTGGAGCTGGAGCTGGCGCAGCTGCGCCGGGAGAACGAGATGCTCATCAAGCATCACCAGGAGCTCAATGTATGTACACGTTCGTTCCTCCACCTCTCATGCGGTCATGGCATGCATCATTCATTCCTGTAGGGTTAAAAAATTTCAAACCGATGAATAGTAGCGCTTTCGTCTTATTGATAAATATTGTCCTTTCGAGGATTAACTAAATTCAAAAGATTTATCTCGTGATTTCCAACTAAACTGTGTAATTAGTTATTTTTTTACCACATTTAATGCTTCATGCAAACGGCTAAAAATTAATGTGATGGATAGAGAGTGAAAAAACTTGGAATTTTAAGGGTATCTAAACAAGGCCAGGTGTAGCCGCTGGTTTTGCATGTTTGCTACCTGCTGCTGGTTCGTCTGGCCATGTCGTCGTCAGCGCAGGTCCCTGCACACATGCCGCTCCGCACCACCCTGAACCTGAAGACAAGCAAATAGCTAGAGGATCCATTCGAGCAGAGGCCGGATTCCATCTGAATGATTCAACGTCTGGCTGCCAAGCTGCTGTGTCCTACTCCTACTCCTACATAACACAGCACACAGCACACAGCAGTAGTTTACAAGCTAGGATAGTCCGCTCAAAAAAAAAAAATCCATCCATTTGTGTATGTGTCTGTCTTGTCTATGTATAACATAGCATGGTAGCCAACCATATATTCGTCACAATGCTTTCCCGCTACCTATATAGTACAGATTATATGTTTTTCCACTTTTGTGTGCCGTAGCACACTATATATACCCAACGGCCAAACGGGCTAAAATTGTTCAGTGCCAAGTGTATCTGAGTGGTCCAAAGGTAAGCCTAACTCAATTGGTTGGGGATTGAAACACGATCATGCATAAATCCTAAACACTAATGTTTGAGTTCCATATTCAGTTCAAGTTTAGGTACATATTTTCTTGAGTTCTTAATGAAAAATCATCTATTTGTTTTATCCAAGTGTTTTATTTGTAGAGCAGCTAAGTGGTTAGGAAAGGGAGCTGAGTGGGCCTAACATGAATCTTGATTCTCGAATCACCTCTAGATTGTGGTAGATAAAGTTTGCCACCACACACACACAAATAAGTCCCCAATCCACAACCAACATTATATTGACCTAGCAAGAAAGCAGTAACATTTCAAACTGGGATCTACTCACCGAACACTCAAAGGATAAGTAGTCTATACTATCATATTTGCTGCAAAGGAACACACATTGGACTCCCTTGCCAATTTGTTATAATCATACTAACCTGAATTTTCCATCAGCCATGTTCCAACAAATTTTCATCCTTGTCAATTATACAGGCAGATAATGTTGTTTCTTTTTTTTTCCTACTAGCATATGCCCGTGCGTTGCCACGGGATCTTAAAATTTCGAATGCAATTCAACGCAATAAAGGTAAGAAAAAATAGCAGGTTAGGAGTCTCAAATTTTCAAGCGCAGTAAGAGAATAAAAAAAAGTGGGTCAAAATCAAGACAAATAAATTTTAACTTGGCTTAGCAACATATAGTTTCGAGCCACATTCAAATAAATAAGCTTACGTCAACTTTAGTAACAATGTCAAAATAAGTGCATGATAGATAAGTCCTCCACAACTATCTCTTTCATTGTCTTTTGCCGGTGATGCGGCTAAGATATTATCGTAGGAATACAGGAATGATACACCGCCGTGAATTCCCATCGTACGCCAATAGGTCGATCACAAAGTTCTTCCATAGTCTTTGGCCATCCTGTGCACAAGACAAACATAAATAAGTGGAATATATATATATATATATATATATATATATATATATATATATATATATATATATATATATATATATATATATATATATATATATATATATATATATATATATATATATATATAGATGACCACAAACATAAAGTATTGTGCTCACCGAAGAGACTGGCATGAGTTCTCATTGTTCCATGCGGACATGAATTGCAGAACGATGAAGGCATTTAAATTCCTATATCATAATAAATGGTCAACTATTTAACCCTTAACGGTCCATTCTATATATAGCATAATAAAATGTTGTTCAAATGAAGTTATCTATCTTCTATGACTGGAATGCCACTTGGGAGTATATGTTTCCACGCAAAGACATCGACAGCACGTTCAGGGGCTTGCACTCCCATTGCAAGTCTATAACTGTTGGAAACATTGATAATTCTATGCACATAACGCTTGTATGGCATATCTTTACACCAATCAGGAATTGGAGTAGGATCAAGCACAATTAGAGTTTTTTCCTCAAGGTCGAACACAAAAAAGGTTAATGCTTCCTCTTGCCCATGGCATAAGAAGCTGCAGAATGATAGGAATTAGAATTTCAAAAAAGGGCTCACAATAATCATAGAGAAATATCCTTACAAATCTGCAACGTGAGGCATCATATTTCATATATGGCCAAGTTTCTAATGATTTAGCCAACTCTTGAACATTAAGCTTCTCTGACCGTGTCCTTTGCGCAGATTCGCACGTAGTCTACTGAAAACAAATATGTTTAGAAACGTGAGAAAGACTTCTTACTATGGATATAATACTTAAGAAAATGCACAAGAGTATACTTAAGAAAACAGTTTACTCACACAGAATCTCAGGTCCATGTAATGCTTTGAAACCATCACATTAGCACTCGTCAACCTTTTATTCTCACTGTATGCAAGAAGCCGCACACCCATGTTGAAACATTCTCTGGGCATCGGTTGATTCATCCTTAGTGATGCTTGGAGTTGACGGACAGTTAGGGAGATATTGTAAGGTTGGAAGCTCCAGTATATCATGTAGTAGTTTTGCGTACCAAAGCCGATCTATTAGAGATATGTATAGTCTAACACATGTAATATCATGTTACTTGTACCCCAAGTTGATCTTGACTATATATATGAAAGTCACCCCCCCTAATTAGGTGTGAGGTGAAACAGGTGCTGTGCCACCTGTCAACTACAAGGGCTTGTCTGCAACGTCGACCTCTCCGCTGCCCGCTAATTATCGCAGTGTGTTGGCTGATCCCAACTGGCGTGCTGCGATGGCAGATGAGTATCAGGCTCTTCTCGACAACAACACATGGCGCCTCGTCCCTCGACCACCAGGTGCCAACATTGTGACAGGCAAATGGCTCTTCAAGCACAAATATCATGCGGACGGGTCCCTTGCACGCCACAAAGCTCGCTGGGTTGTCCGTGGCTTCTCCCAGCAGCATGGTGTCGACTATGATGAGACCTTCAGTCCGGTCGTCAAGCCTGCTACCATCCGGATTGTGCTCAGCATTGCTGCCTCATGCTCCTGGCCGATTCATCAGCTCGATGTGAAGAATGCTTTTCTTCATGGTGACCTTGAGGAGACCGTCTACGCCCATCAGCCTGCTGGTTTTGTCGACCCGTCTACACCTCATTATGTCTGTCTGTTGCAGAAATCACTGTATGGCCTCAAGCAGGCTCCTCGTGCATGGCATCAACGGTTTGCCACCTACGTCTGCAAGCACGATTTCACTGCGACGAAGTCTGATGCATCTCTGTTCACCTTCAAAGATGAGTGGAGATGGCATACTTGCTACTGTACGTCGACGACATCATCCTCACAGCATCCTCTTCGGATCTCCTAAGGCGCATCATCGCCAGTCTCAGCTCTGAGTTCGCCATGACACACCTTGGGGCCCTACACCACTTCCTCGGCATCTCCGTCCCTCGGTCCTCTGACGGCCTCCACTTGTCCCAGAGACAGTATGTTGTCGACCTTCTTCAGCGGGCCGGCATGGCCGAGTGTCACCCCATGGCAAAACCGGTTGACTCCAAGTACAAGCTGTCTGCCACCGATGGAGCTCCAGTTGCTAGCCCTTCAGACTACCGGAGTCCTGCTGGCGCCTTGCAGTACCTCACGCTGACTCGGCCGGACATTGCCTACGTCGTTCAGCAAGTCTGCCTCTTCATGCACGACCCGCGGGAGCCGCATCTTGCTTTGATCAAACACATTCTGCGTTATGTCAAGGGCACTCTCGACACCGGTCTGCACCTCGGCATTGGCAGCGTGTCATCCATCACGGCATACTCCGACGCAGACTAGGCTGGATGTCCAGACTCTCGACGCTCTACATCAGGCTCTGCATCTTCCTTGGAAACAACCTGGTTTCCTGGTCTTCAAAACGGCAGACCACGGTGTCTCGGTCCAGTGCAGAGGCGGAGTACCGAGCTGTTGCTCACGCAGTTGCTGAGTGTTGCTGGTTGCGCCAGCTGCTTGAGGAACTTCATATCCCGATCCCTTCAGCGACCATTGTCTATTGCGACAATGTCAGCACGGTCTACATGACTGCCAATCCAGTTCATCATCGTCGCACGAAGCATATTGAGATTGACATTCACTTTGTTCGTGAGAAGGTGGCTTTGGGGCAGTTCAGAGTGCTACATGTTCCCTCAGCTCATCAGTTCGCGGACATTATGACTAAGGGACTGCCTGCACAGTTGTTTAATGACTTTAGGTCTAGTCTCTGCGTCCAGTTCCCTCCCGCTGTGACTGTGGGCGGGTATTAGAGATATGTATAGTCTAACACATGTATATCATGTTACTTGTACCCCAAGTTGATCTTGACTATATATATGAAAGTCACCCCCCCTAATTGGGTGTGAGGTGTTCCCCTAATTCTCTACACGATCATCTAACATGACATTACTACCAGCTTCTCCCTGAAAATCCCAATATCTTCCATGTGTTTGTAATGCTTGAGAATAAGCAAAACCCTACAGGCTGCAATATATACATTGCTTCATCAGATAAAATTTAGTACAGCAGAAGTTGAAGACAGGAATGCATATCCCTACAGGATGCAGTTTATAAAAAAAAACAAATGAAAAGAACAGTTACTGCAAAAGTGCAAGTCCTGTAGATATCAAGAGTTACTGGAAAAGTGCAAGTACAATTTGTTAACATGTTGGACAGACTGGTAGACGAAGATATGAATAAAATGTGGAAATAAAGATTTTTCAGATCAAATTCATGAAGTTTCTCCCATCTATGTTTCATTTCAACCAACAGACATGCATATTATATCAAAATTTGGCAAAGCCAAAGATGTAAATTTAAGACAAAATGCATAGCAAACACAGATCGGGTAATATCAATAAGGCATGGCATTTTAGAGTATAGTATTTCTAATACCATCGTTTCAAGGCCGAATATTAGCCCAAAAAATCTCAAGCATGCTCCCTTCTGAAGGCTAAAAATATTTGAAAAGACTAATTTATTGCTGAAGTTCAAGTTATATTTTACTAAAGGAAGTACCAAGGAAGAATGAACTTGAAATATGCACCAGACTAACACCCTGTGAGAATACATTATTTCTGAAAAATAATAGATCATTAGAGTACAGTAGTGAATCGAAGACACATCAACAAAACAGACATTTCTAGGTCGACCAAAAATGGAGTTTAAAGCCTCTAGCACATTT